ATCTGGGATACAGGAAGGATTTTTACCAAAACTCAATATATGAACTTTATGGTGGGTATTTAAGGTTTGAGGTAGAGTGGAAGTTTGATAAGAGAGTATTCTGTAGCTACTCCCTCAGAATTGAGATTAACATTCTCTCCTGGAAGGAGAAGAGAGACTCAAAGGAATAAGAAAGTTAATGAACTTGGAGGTTCAAGAAACTTTCGAAAGTCACAAGCATACACCTCCGGCTCCACCCCACCCCATCCACCCCAAGCTTGTAAAAGCAGGGAATGCTTGATGGGAGAGGAAGTTGTCTGGTAGAGCTGGCTGCAAGTTGGGCAAGGAATTCTAGGGATGCATTGTATCTAAGTCCCCACCCAAGCTGGGTTAGACTTCCTGATAACCAACCAACTCCTTGCCAATAAACTCACTGGTTTGCCAACCACACTTGAGTGGAATCAATCTTTGATTGCTCATCTGTCCCTTAGCTGGTCTGAATAAACGTTTGCTCACCACCCTCCCCCATGTGGGAATAAACAGAAAGTAATGGTGGGCATTTCTGGAGCATGGGGCAGCGTGTACAAAGGCTTGAAGATGTGATAGGACAAGACACCATCAGAAGGACAGTGTAAGCAGAAAGTCTGAAGAAGAGTGTAGACTTCAGGCAGGAATGGAAGTGAGAGAGATGACGGATGGGGACAGTCTAACAGATGAGGGTAGTGAGATGTAGCAGCGGTGAGGGTGGTCAAGAATGGAGAGACCTGGTAGCTAGGAGCCAGAGAAAGCTCAGGAAAGGGTCCTCCATATGAGAATGAACTCAAACCACAAGTTAGCCTCTCCCTGGAAAAGGAGAGACAGAGAACCAAGGAAGAGTAAGAAACCATCCTGGAAACATGCAGGAGGCAGCACCTGGAGCTGGGGACACCTCAGTGGATAAAGTGCTTGCCACACAAGAATGAGGACCTGAGTTTAACTTCTAATGGCCACATCAAAGGCCAGGTGCAGTAGTGTGCACTTATCATCTCGTGTCTGGGGAGGTGGAGATAGAAGGATGGGGTGGGGGGGCTTGTTGACCAATGATCCTAGTCTAATTGGTGAGCCCCAGACTCTAATGATGAGTCCTGCCTCAGCGAACAAGATGAATGCTGTAGAAGTTCCTCCCACCTGCCCACCATCTTCCTTTGTGCGTCTATAAGTGGTGATGTCTACCAAAAGGGCATGGAAGGCATAGCCAGTAGCCGCTGTGGGGCTGTTCCCCAGCTCAAAGTCAACACACAAAAGCTAGATGTGGTGCTTTGAGTGAAAATACCCCCTCATAGGTACATCTGTTTGAATACTGGTCCTACTGGTCCCCTGATGGTGAAACTATTTGGTAAGGATTAGCAAGTATGGCCTTGTTGCAGGAGGTGTGTCCCTGTGGATAGGCTCTCTCTCCCCCTCCATCCCTCCCTCCATCTCTCTCTTTCTCTCTCCTCCCCCCTGCTTTGTTCTTGTGGATCAAGATGTAAACTCTCAGCTACTGCTCCAGCACCATGCCTACTGGTCTGCTGCTGTCATGCTCTGAAGCTGTGAGCTCCAACATAAACGCTTTCTTTTACAAGTTGCCTTGATCATGCTGTTTTATCACAGCAACAGAAAAGTAACTAAGACATTGCATATCCCTCAGGATTTGCCTCGGATCCATCAGAGAATCTATGCTTATGGCCTACTGTGCCCTTCCCCATACGTTCATATTCTTTTGAACTGAAAGAAATGGACTCTGATAGCAAATTCACCAGTTCCTCTTCCAAGTGGTGAGACAAGGAGGGTGAGAGATAGGGGTAGGACCAAAGAAGGTGATACCAAGAACTAGGAGCTATCCCTATTGAGCACTCCTCTGAAGCTTCATTCCTACAGAGCCTAGTTGTATATGCTTGGGTAAAGCAGGGTGGTGGGAGCCCATGGACAAATAGGTCTTGGAACCATTCCTTCTGCATAAAACTGGCCTCTAGGACATTGGCTTGGCAAGCCCCTTCGTCAGCCCTGTCCCTACAACTCTGCCTCTGTTCTTTTATTTTCTTCTGGAGAATAGGGACTCAGCTATCCCAATGAGGTAAATTTGACATAGTCAGCTGTGGCCTGGCATTCGTATTGTCTCATGCATATTGACTTAATGTATGTGCTCAAGCACCGCATATGCACACAATCTGGCAGTTCTAACTTCTCTAGACTGATTTCTCTGTACTTCCTATCTTGAACAACCACCAACTGCCCAAATTTCATGCATTGTTTTAAGTATTTTACCTATGATATCTACTGAAGTGCCACAATTCTATCACTGGACATTTTAGAGTAGAGAAAAATACCAAGGCACAGAAAGTCTAAGCATGCTCCCTAGGGTCCCCCAGCTAGGTAACAGCAGAGGCAGATTCAAACCTAATCACTCTGACCTCAAAGTCTGGTCCTCCGCCCCCTTCAAGATACATGGCACTCTGAAATCCAGAAAGTTTACAACCCTTAGAAGAGTCCCAACTCCAAAATGTTTGCCCAACATGGGACAAACAACTGAAGTAGGACAGCCACAAGAAGTAGGGATGAGAGTGACCCTTCAGGAAGCTCAGGCACACTTCAAAGAGCAAGCTTGAGTACAGAGGGATGCACAGACAACAACGGCCTGGTGTGTCAGCAAAGAGGAAGCTGACTTTGAGCTCTGCTGCTCCTCCCTCTCACGGTCCACATGGTGACAAAAATAGCGGCCAGGGCCTTGGGACTAGCGAGGAATCCTCCTGTGTGCACAGCTCAGAAAGGACACGCACGCGCGCACACACACACACACACACACACACACACACACACACACACACACAGAGTCTTCTATAGGAGCATTGTCTTTAAATAGAAAAGATAACCTGAAATACACACTGCACTTTCAGGGCAATCTCTCTCTCTCTCTCTCTCTCTCTCTCTCTCTCTCTCTCTCTCTCTCTCTCTCTCTCTCTCTCTCTCTCTCTCTCTCTGTGTGTGTGTGTGTGTCTTTCTCCCTCTCTGGGGTCTGAGTACCAGTGGTGAGAGGAGGAAACCTAGTGCCCTGGCAGCTCCTGACTTTCAGTTCCTATTTAAAATGTCTGAATTGGGAGCATCGACAAGCTCCCAAATTAGCTTTTTAAATAGAAGCCGAGAGTTAAAGGAAAAGCGGCCGTGTCATGGGGGAAAAGCAAATGAAAAATCCCGGCCACGCTGGGCCAGAGGCAGAGGGGGGAAGGAGCCAACAGGCATGGCTGGGGAGATGCCAGGAAGGGATGGAGGGTGGCTATGCAATGTCTCCTGGACAATGTCTCTTCCAGACAATGTCTTGGATCCAGGTACCTCCTTTCTCCTTTCACTTGTTCCATTTTCCTTATCATCTGTAAACAAAACCCACATTGGCCTGAACTAGAAATTCAAGTCTCCCTTACTTTTCTCCAGTTATTGGAGACAAAAAGGAGAGCAGTCCACAGACACTTCACTTAGACAACCAGGAAGGAGCATCTGAGATACAGGATCGGAGGGGGTGGGGCAGTATGTGCTAGCTTCAAGTAGGGCTCACAAAGCCCCAAAGGCCACAGGTTCTCTCATTAACAGACCACCCCAAGAGTCTACTGATGTTCCCACGCAACCATTTATTCCCTGACTGTTTGGGAGACTTGATCCCTGAACTACCTTCACACTGCAGAGCAACAAGAATGTACAGGAAATCCTAACCTCCTAGGCAGAAATAAAATTTTGAATTTCTACTGCCCCAAGTTGAATAGGTGGTAGAAGTCAGGGGAAAGTGTCCCTATTAGGACCAGACCACTCAGAGACAGAGTACCTAATCCCAGGGGTCACAGCAACTGAGGTTACAACTGCAAAAAAAATAATTAAAAACAACAAAACAAAACCCAACATCAAAAACTTCCCTAAGTAGAGAGAGAGAGGGAGAATCTCTGCTGCTAGGGCCTTCCCTTATTTCTTCCTGGGTTGGCCAGGGAGTGGCAGTGTTGTTAATCATTATTATGGTATGCAAATTAGTATGCAAATCCCACAGCGTTCTAGGACTCCTGGCAAATGCTAATGGGGTCCACGCCCACCTCTTGAAGGGCCAATTGTGCACCTTTCAGACTGACACAGTTAAGAACGCTTTGGTTAGAGTGAGTCTATAAAAGCTTCAGGCTACCAGAGGCCCAGAGTAGCTGAGACCTCAAAAACTACTCCTCACCCTGTACTTCTGGGGAGGGCTCAGATTTCCACAAGCCGGAAACCCTATTCTGGACTCCGAAGGTCTGAAAAAGCCGCAGTTAAAGGCATGCCCTGCCAAGTACATCCTTACCCTCACCGCACATTTCGCGTTTCTGTCCATTTGTGTTTCAGCATACACTTCTCCACACTTCAGAACTGCGATCTCTGAAGTCAAAGCGGAACGTCCCTGCCGAGGCACGAAGCTACCTGCTTCGCGATCTCCAGGCCTGGGATTCCCAACATCCTGGCGGAGACACAGGGAAAGCCTGCGACCATTCCCCATCCTGGGTTGAAGAACTAAACAGTAGGGATCTTTGGGATTCTGGAAAGGTCCGAAGGCCTGGGTCTGCTCTGGGAAGATAGGGAAGTGAGAGCTCACATTCCCAAAGCCTCAATCTTAATTCTGGACACCGTGGTGGAGGATTGGAGCAAATCCTGACTACCTGGCCATGCCCTCTCACTCTTGTATGACAGCGGCTCTTATGTGAAGGTAAAGGCAGTTTGACCCCTCTGAGACCTTTCCAGCTTCAGCACACGCAGCTGACAGTTCACGTCAGCCTGGAAGCTTGCATGCCTCGCTAGGTGATCAAGGAGAGGAGTTGCTCTGCCGCGTGGACAATGAATGGGAAACGGACATCCAGTTAAGTGTACACACCCCACACGCACACACACCAGCGCTCCCTGCCACCTCTTCCCAAGTCCCTAGCCACACACGCCCCCGAACTCACGATCACGCCTCACGCCCGGCTCCTCCCCCACTCCCAAGCCAAGCTCACCTTGCCACTCTCGCCCCATGCCCACCCTCGCCGGCACACGCGCTCACACCCGCGTGGGCACACTCCACCACCACCTCCAGGCACACCCTAGGATTCCTCCACTCTCCTGGGGAGACGCACCAGGCTCTGCCTAGTCTCCCCGCCCCCTCCCACTACACTCCCCCCACTCACGCGCGCGCCCCTCTACACACACACACACACACACACACACACACACACCCTCGCGCAGAGTCACTCCCCCTCGCACGCCCTCGCCCTGGGCACCCTCCCGCGGCTAGGCTCCCGGGTCCTCCTCCTCTGCTCCCTCCGCTGCCTGGCGGCTCTGCGATCTCGCGCCCGGCCTGGGGCCGCTCGGCCCGTGGGGGATCGGTGGGGAGCGGAGGGCGCAGCCTCGCCGCCTCCCCCGGACTCTCCTCTCCGCCCCGCCCGCGCCGCGCCCCCACCGCCTCCTCGGGAGAGGGACCTCGGGAGAGGCAGCCCGTGGCCGGCCCGACTCCGCTCCGCGCGGCACCGGCAGCGGCGGGGGCAGGGAACGAGCGAACCCGAGCTCACGAGCCCTAAAGCGGAGCGACTAGGCGGGGAGGAGACGCGCTGCCGAGCCGGGGCTGGAGCGGTGGTGGCGGCGGCGACAGCGGGGGAGGGACGGCCCCCCGGACGGACCGACGCACGAACCGACCGAGTGAGGGAGGGACGAGCGAGACTTCGCCGGCGAGGAGGAGCCGCCCGAGCGGCGGCTGCTGGGCGCTTCCCCGCGCTGCTGGGCGCTCTGCGCCTCGGCGGCCCCCGGCCGCAGCTTCCTCGCGCGCGCGGGGCGCGGGGCCTGGGGCTGGCTTCGGCGAAGGTAAGAGGGAAGCGACCGAGTCTTCCGGAGCCAGCAAGTGCGAGGAGCGCTGCTCCCACGCCTGTTGCTCCGGCTGCCCACGCGGCACCCTCCCACTCCCGCGGCCGGGTGGGTGGGCGCTGGGGCGCCGGAAGGATTGGGGGTGGGGCCGGGGCCGTGGGGGGAGCAGGCAGCAGGCCTGGGGGCGTCGGTTCCCGCGGCTGTGGAGCCACCTCTGGGCACCCAAGCGCTGAGAGGTTTAGGGGTGGGGGTGTGAACCTCTGCCCTCTTGCCATTGGCCTGCCTTCCCTTGCCGGGTGCCAGGAGCAGCGCCCCGGGTTCTGGCTGCAGGTGGCGACGGTTTGCTCCGTCCCTGCTCTTTGTGAGCTGAGGAGAGAAATGGCTGAGAGTGGGAGCTGGGAGCCTTTTGGGGCGCTTCGCAAAGTTCTCCAGCCCAGCGAGCCTGTGGCGCTTCTGCCAGAGGCTGGGGGCCGGTCCATTTGGTCCTGCCTGTCACATCGTCCATCCTGTGAACCCTAGGAAAGGTCTCTTAAGTGTTATGAGCGGCAGGTTTTAAAAGACTCTTTTGCTTTACAAGGTGTTTACACTGGGGATGGGCAGAGAAGTTACCTAGCATCAACTAAATTCCTGCACTTGCTTAGTGCTGGCATTTGATTCAGTCCACGATGTTCTCCTTTCTTCTGGGGCAGCCTTGACAAGTCAGCAACAGGCTGAGGTTCCAGACCTGAAATCAAGGCAAAGAGACGTCTCCATGTATTTGACGAAGGATGAGAACTTTCACGGGGTGATAGGCACAATGCAATCGGTAATCAGGTTTTACAGGGTGGTCATGCATGAATGTAGGTGATGCTTGAATCGATGCATTATTTAGTGTTACTTCAAGGGAGCCTGAGTGTTTATCTAGGGTTAGGGGCCTCCTGGGCATACATTCAATGCAAAGCATGTGTACATTTCCCCATGTGGACACATACTGACCACCAAGAGGAGTTGATATGTTTATTTTTCCGTGTTGCTTCTTGAATGTTACAAGACTCCAGAGGAAGAAGGATTAGCAGCTGTTCCCTTTTCCGGTTGAGGAAGCTGGAGAAAGAGTTCGGGGAAACTGCCCTGGCCCTCCTAAGAATGGCACTGTGGAGAAGTTAATCTGTGTGTCCCAGGCCTGTGCCCCAAGGATCTCCAGCTTGGCTCCCCTACCCATTTCATACTTGTCTAACAAAATGCCACTGACACAGGACAGACTCCCTGAGAGACTGAAACAGTCCCTCAAAACATCTCCAGTTTCTGGAGACACTCTCCTGAGGTCACTGAAGGGTAGATCTTGGTGGTGTGACATTTATGCTGCTTTGTATCTGTGCTCAGGTGAGATACCAAACCCCAGGACAGGAGGTCTGCCTCCTTTTGATCTTCTGCCTCCAAAATAGAAGCTGCTTAGCAGGGCGGCTGACTTTTTAAGCAAGAGAAAGCGGTTTCTTTTTCCAGGATTTTCCACGTTTGTCGTTTCTGAGTTTACCTGGTTTTAATCTCTCTCCCTCCTGCATCCCTACCCTACCCCACCGCTGAGTCTTTCCCACTGTCAAACTCTTTGGCCACAAACAAAAATAGCTTCAGAGTTTTCATTTGTAAGGCATCCACGTCCTAGTAAAACCGTGGAATGGGAGGTGTGTGTGGTGCCATTGGCTGGAAATGGGGCCGCACTGTAGTGCCTGTTGCAGGGTTCATACCCAGGCCAGCTCCAAGAGGCACTGGCACCGTTAGGGGTGAGTGTTGCACTGACAGCCTGCAGAAGTGCTGTCTGAGCCAGGTCATCCCTGCAGGGTTGAGGGTGGGTGTGGTTCGTATGGACGTGGGCATGGTGTCTAGTGAGGTGATTGTCCTCTTCCAGACTCAGGTGTGTACAATATACGGCCATGTGCATGCACATACGTATTCACACAGAAAGTAGCAACAGGGTAATTGCTATTTTCTTGGCACTTTTCACCCGAAGGATGGGTTCCGAATCTCTAGAGACAGTCTGGTACTTGCATGACCTTCTTGAAAAAAGATTGTTCCAGATTATTGTACAGGGTAAAAGTTTGCCCTTGGGACAAGAGACTTTAGGATAGCTAGGGAGGGGATTAGTGTTGACTTTCTCTAAGCTTTCAATTATCCATCAGAAAGCAGTTTGTGCATTACTCATGGCCTTGGAAAACAAGAGTTGACTCGGTAAAGAGGATGAGGGCATGGAATTCAGTTTGCAGAGGCAGGCAGCTGGTACTGAAACTTCAGAATCCCCGGGCTGTATTGTGATACTATCAGAAGGGCACTGTCCTTTTCAGAGCCATGAGTCTGGCTAACAAGGTTCTCCAAGGTACTTCCTGATTCAGTCATCTCTTAACCTTTGCCATTTGAACAGCTGCCCCTGCCCATCTTTTTGATAAAGCAAAAATGTTAGGGGGTCATGAGTCAAGGGACCAGCAAGGGCCTGAGGCCTAGCCCTCTTTCCTCCTTCCTAAGAGGGTGGGGGGTGTTTCTGTGGGTAGACTAGGCCTTGAATTGCCTTGGGTTCCAAGTGATGCAGGTTGTGTGTCCTGTTCTGGGCACCAGCCTCATCAGGAATTCCCAGAACTCTCTCTGCTGAGATGAGGCTCAGGCTAATTGCATCCCCACAGCAACCAACCCAGATGCTCTACTTCCCGCTCTGCATGGGCAGCCATCATAAGGCAGTCTCAGAGAGACAGGAGATATAGCGTCTGTGTCCTGGATCCAGGAGAATCATTTGAATCAAAAGGTCCTCCATCCCTTTCTTTTTCAGCGTTCATTTTACAGAAGAGGATTCTGCAATCCAGAAAGTTAACAGTGGTTTGCTTTCAAAAGTTAGGGTAGCACTAAAACAGACTGAAAGGTCCCCAGAGCCTGCTCTCTCCGCTGCCTGCTTCTTCTAAGGGAGCACCAGGATTGGGCTGCACCTCGTTCAGGGAAGTCATTTGACAGTAAGCCAGACAATGGTCTGGTGTGGAAACTGTCCACTCCTGTATACATTAACTTAACCACTTGGAAAGAAACTTCTGAGACTTAGGCATTTTTTCCCCTGTCACCAATAGACAAAAACATCATAGCATTTTTTGTGGGAATAAATTAAATGTTATATGATATGCAAAAGTGCCTTGGACAGTGCCCAAGGCTTTGCCAGTACTCAGGAAACATGGTCTAAATCAGAATCAGAGTTATCTATAACCAGTGTTCAGCTCATGTTCTTTTCCCAGGCCCTCGCCCCTTGAAAACGTAGCTAAGTATATGCTGAAGGCAAGGACAACTCCTGGCCCAAAGAAAACATAGTTCACTGTAAGGGTGAATGTCTTGAAGACAACTACGCAATTCCAAATGTGTTTCTGAGTCTTCTCTTAGTGTTGTGTAGATTATTCTCTGTCATGGATGAATGGCCTCCGCTCTCCTCTCTTCTCTTAGTTCCTATAATCAAGAGCTCATCAGGCCCATGCTAGTTTTCTATCCTTTAAGCAGTGACACTTTAGGAAGCCTCATGGTCATTCTCATTGTCTTCTGTAGCATCTAAAAAACCTTTAAGGAAGAGAGGGACTTATGAAAATCCACCTTTAGCATTAGGTGGGGGAAACTGAGGCAGAGATCAACTCTTGAAGGACACTTAACTGTACCTACAGTTACTACACTCAATTCTTAGGATTTTGATTCAACTCTGTCATCAGAGTTTACTGTTTAGAGAAGGAACAGCTACCCTTGACAACCCCAGGGAACAGTTACAAGGCATAGAGTTAAAATGACAGAGTGCAAGCAGCACCTATAATATAGCGGTCCTGACTCCAGAACCTGCTCAAACACCACTTGCACTATTGCTACTTGCTAGGCTAGATGGAAAGCTAAGGTTACATGGTCTTTGCCCTAAAGGTCTTTGGGGGGCCCAGGGAATGTGCTGCCTAGAGTGACTCCCGATGAGTTCTGACTAATTAATCATTTAGAAAGTCATGACCACTCCTTAGCTTTCATTTTCCTTATGTACAAGGTGAGGAGGACTACAGTGGTGTCTACTCCAAAAGCAAGGACTGTTTTGGTGGCTTGGTGGAAACAGTCCATGGATGCATAAGGTACTGAACCTGGTGTGGTCAGTGCTCAGTAATCCATTCAAGGTCGAATCCCTGACCTGTGCTTCAGGGTTATCAGAATGCTAGGTATCTATAGGCCTTGGATTTTCTTATTCATGAGATGATGGACATGATAGACTCTCCTGCCTGGGATTGCCTTGAGGATTAAATTAGATAGCCACGGGAGACAGTGCAATACCTTGCACAGAGTGTCTGGCCATTCATAACTGTTGATGTCATCACTGTCAATGAAGGGAATATAAAGCACCTGGGACCCAAGCTTGGCATGGCAGGTGCTAGAGCAGAGAGGCAGAGTGCAGGGAGCCTAAAGGAGGGAGAGTCTTGGGAGAAGAGGAAGGGTCACCCAGAAGAACGGGTGGGTTTTAGTGAGCAGGGCAAGAGGAGAGATGGGAGCTATACTCCAGATCCCCACACCCAGGGTTTGTTTGTGAGCCGGCCTCTGCTTTTGTTGTTGGAGGTTAGGAGGGTGGACTGCCTGACTGATATGTTAAGATGGGTCCCTTTATGAAGATGCTGGAATTCCAGGGCAAGGAGTTAGGGTTTTATTTCATAGGCTACAGAGTAAGGCACAATCAGAACCTTGCTTTAAGGAGGTTACTCTGAGTAGAATGAATTTGGAGGTAATGGGAGGAATCTAGGTATAGGGGAAGAAGAGTGAGACAAGAATACAGTGGGGGTGGGGAGCCAAGGGAGCCAGTCTTTCATGGCAATCCTTGGAATAGTGTTTTAAGAAAGCACGGTCAGGGTAAGTGGCCTAGGATGAGGGAAGGCTGTGTGCAGAAGGTGAAGAACAATGTTCTGGATGGAGATAGTGTCAGCTCCTCTGCTTTGGAGGCCTCCAGGTAGAAAAGCCCAGTAGCAGCTCAGGGGGAAAGAAACAGAGGATCTGGGAGTAAGGAAGCAGGTGAAAGGGCATTCCTGGAGAGATGAAGGCCAGCGCTCAGTCTCTGTGTAGTAAGTCACCCAACAGCAAAACCAGACTAACAAACAACACAACAAACTCCCAAAGTCACCTTTGCCTCGTTTATTTCAATACAGAAATAAACCAAGTGAGTTCTAGAGAGTCCAAATAACCGAGTGAAGATTTGGCTCTGCACTGTGTGATCAGTTTAGGATTAGTGGAGTTGCGTGTGCCAACCCCAAACAATTTCCCGTCACTGTTACGTGTGTTTCTGTGTCACCACATGTCTTCCCACAGATGGTATACATTTGGGGATTGCAGAGTCATTTCACTATCATCTTTAAAAAGCCAGATCTGGGAAGGTAAATCTGCTGCTCAAAGCCAAATATAGTTCTCTGTGCCATTGTTCCCTCCATCCAGGCAGGTGGCGGGGAAGCGGGGTGCAGAAAGCTGTGAGTGAAGGGACAAGGGTGTCCAGCCCTGAAGAGGTTCTGAAGGGTGCAGAAGAGGACAGGTGAGAGAGCCTGGCATGGGATGGTGTATCGTTATATAATGGGGAACTCTGGGTTCTAGGCAGATGGAGATGCAAGGCGAAGGAGTTAGGGAAGGCAGTGAGCGTGGCTCGTCTTGCTCTGGGGTGGGAGAGGGACAGTATGTGGAAGTCAGGTGGACCCGGAACCCAAGAATCCCTTCATTGGGTGGGAGGGAGACCGTGTACAACCTCACAAGCTTCTCCTTGTCTGTTCATCGTGTGTCTGAAGCAACCTACAATTGGACAGTAGGTTGCTAGGGCAAGGATCCAGGCCAAGCATCCTAAAGAGTAAGTTGCAATTTGCTAGAGAAAGCTTTCTCTATGGGAGCTAGGGGCAGAACTTCACTAGGCTCTGGGCTTGCTGGGGTCTCCCACCTTGACAAAGCTTTCTAAACCCAGCCCCAGTCTCCCTCCCACCAGGGAGAAATATAAAGGATGTGTTTACTTGATCTCCTTCATTGGCACCCCAATTCCTGATTACCCTGGTGGATGAAGAGTGAAATAAAAATTAGCATGTTTATCCCACTTTTAAATTCGTTTAATGAGGACTCATTTACCCTCTCCCAATTTAAATTCGCAATAACATCCATAACCTTTCAGAGCTAATTATTATCCATCTTCCCAAATCTTGTTAGAGACTTTTCTTCCCAAGTACTTCTGGACCCCCCGGAGCTTGACACTTTGTTGGCCAGTCAGCAACATCTGATGAGCTGGTCCTTTGCACAGCCCCTTCTGAGGTACTGTCCTTGAGTCACTATTATGGTTGCCTCTTTAGGTGCTTTCAGTTTTAACTTGCCTTGGAGACTTGCTGTTTCACACAATGACCCTGCCCTTGTCCCTATTCTCCAAAAAATCAAAGTAGACTCAGCCCTTTCTCTGATCTCTCCTGTCCCCCAGGGGTCACTGAACTAACTCCAAACTGGTGTGCACAGTGTCTGAGCAGCTACCAGCCCAAAAGCTGGAGTCACCATGGCGGCGGGAGTTGCAGCCTGGCTGCCTTTTGCCCGGGCTGCAGCCATTGGATGGATGCCAGTGGCCAACTGCCCCATGCCCCTAGCTCCAGCTGACAAGAACAAGCGGCAAGACGAGCTGATTGTCCTCAACGTGAGTGGGCGACGGTTCCAGACCTGGAGGACCACTCTGGAGCGCTACCCGGATACTCTGCTGGGCAGCACAGAGAAGGAGTTCTTCTTCAATGAGGACACCAAGGAGTACTTCTTTGACCGCGACCCAGAAGTTTTCCGTTGCGTACTCAACTTCTACCGCACTGGGAAGCTACACTACCCGCGGTACGAGTGCATCTCTGCCTATGACGATGAGTTGGCCTTCTATGGCATCCTCCCTGAGATCATTGGAGACTGCTGCTACGAAGAGTACAAAGACCGCAAGCGGGAGAACGCAGAGAGGCTCATGGATGACAATGACTCTGAGAACAACCAGGAGTCCATGCCCTCACTCAGCTTCCGGCAGACCATGTGGAGGGCCTTCGAGAACCCACACACCAGCACCCTGGCCCTGGTCTTCTACTATGTGACTGGCTTCTTCATTGCCGTCTCAGTCATCACCAACGTGGTGGAGACGGTGCCATGCGGCACGGTGCCCGGGAGCAAGGAGCTGCCATGTGGAGAGCGCTACTCAGTGGCCTTCTTCTGCCTGGACACTGCCTGCGTCATGATCTTCACCGTGGAGTACCTCCTCCGGCTCTTCGCGGCACCCAGCCGATACCGCTTCATTCGTAGTGTAATGAGCATCATCGACGTGGTGGCCATCATGCCCTATTACATCGGCCTCGTCATGACCAACAATGAGGATGTGTCCGGGGCCTTTGTCACGCTCCGGGTCTTCCGCGTCTTCAGGATCTTCAAATTCTCTCGACACTCCCAGGGTCTCCGAATCCTGGGGTACACCCTGAAGAGCTGTGCCTCGGAACTGGGCTTTCTCCTCTTCTCCCTCACCATGGCCATAATCATCTTTGCCACTGTGATGTTTTATGCCGAGAAGGGCTCCTCTGCCAGCAAGTTCACGAGCATTCCTGCGTCTTTCTGGTACACCATCGTCACCATGACTACACTTGGGTAAGTCAGTGCCACTGGCCTGGATAGGGTGAAGTTGGGTTGGTTGACTCAAGTCATGGGAGCCAGGGAAGTGGAATAGTCAGCAAAGAAATGAGTGATTTGTTTGTGGGTGGTGACTTGCTCTGAATTGATTCCATTGGGGCTGAGCGAGGCATGTGTTTTATAAAACATGGGAAATTAAGTCACTGTGTCTTTCCCCAAGACAAGCAGTGTGGTGTGTGTGATGGCATGGTGGAGTGCCTCTAAGGGGAGGAAGACAGAGCTGGCGGGTGGTGGGGCAGAAGGCTGTGAGAAGTTGAATGAATGGTGTACAATCTGTACATGTGTATTTCCTTCACCGGTCCTCTCTGCGTTTCTCTTTTGTAGTATATTTGCAAGCTGCTTTCTCTTTTGCCTCTTTTCTTTTCTGCTGCCACAGACACTCGTGGGTTCGGTATCTCTGATTAGAATTTCTCTCAAGGACCCTGATTTTGGGTTTTCTGCAAAGCAAGGCAGTAGTTTCTTTTTTCTCACTAATGGAGGAACAAGCTTGTTTTATCAGGTAGAGTCGGGGATGGAATAACCCAGCCTACCTGTGTGCCTGTGAAATAGTCTGAATGGGTCATGTGGTCAGACAAGCAGCAATATCATCAGAGACAAGTGCCCAGTGAGATGTCACGTGACATTCTCTTCCAGATCTTTGAGTTCTACACTCCACCAAGGTCACAAAAATACATGTTTGGTGCTTGGATGAGAAGTGTTCCATCAGAGGAAAGGGTCCCAGGGAGGAGATTGAAATCTCACCCTAACAGGATTAGAGCAAATAAAGGCAGCTTTATGGAGACATAGATTTCAGAGGGGTTCTGCCTCAGCCTTTGGAAGCCTTGAGATTAATGAAAAATCTCTTCACAATTCATATTCTGGGTCTAGATTTGCTTAGACAAGGAAGCATTATATTGCTGATGGAGAATTCATGAAGCTTTTTATTTGGTCTTTGACAATTCAGTTGGTGGCATCCTGGTGATTTTTTTCCTGGATGAAACCCCGTTGTGGTAGTATAGGTTATTCCATAGTGCTGCTAGTGCTGCGTGTGTTTATTGGGAACGACTGAGCAGGTGATTGGACCTTTTAAAGTGATTACATTTGTCATTCTGCCACAAGAGAGGAGCAGGGAGGAACAAGGGATGTCACCATCCATTTGTGAAGGCCATGTTTGATCCAGGCATTCCCTTTACCTCTGTCTAAAGAAAGCTATACAGTCATTCTTCCCAAGATCTCTCTCTCTCTCTCTCTCTCTCTCTCTCTCTCTCTCTCTCTCTCTCACACACACACACACACACACACACACCATGCATCATGCATACACAGGTGTACACATGCACAAACGTGCTCACCAAATAGCTTGCTGCTCATCAGAGGGAATGTTTAACTCTGGGACTGTATCTTTCTTGGATCAAACGGCATATGTAAGCTTCTGACACCACAGGATATTTGGGATAAAGTGATCTGGGCACTTGGCTTCATATTTGTTCCTTCTATGCTGACCCTGGCCATCTTTCACTTTCCTAAAGAAACCCAGGTTCCTCATCCCAACCCTCAAGCATGATCCTGATGAGATCCCAACTTCCCAGTGTCTTTAGCTGCCTTCTGATGGGATTTATGACAGAAAGGGAGGAATTTTTATTGGGATAAATGCCAGGCAGATTGATGGGTGTCAGAGTTAAAATGGGATCATTTTGGAGATCAATAGGGATGTCACTGGCCACTTGCCCATTACTTTTTATTATTAGTATAATAGCATCTGGGTGTCTACTGTATGTCAGCAGTGTGCTGAGCACTTTGCATATATTTAAGTCCTCTCAGTAGCCTTGCAAGGCAGGAAAAGTTCTATGCTCTTTAAAGATACAGAAGGTGAGGCTCAGGGAGGTTTAGTAACTTTCCCATATTCACAAAGCTGATTTTCAAATGCTGGTCTATACACCTTCAATGTCCTTTCTCCTTTCACGAGTCCCACAGTTCCCCATCCACCATGGCCTATAGTAGAAACCAGACCTTCAGGCTTATTACTTTTTAGAAAGCGTCTGGATGTGATATTCTCTTCTAGTTACATTACTAGTCAAGAAAGCATCAGCTTGGTGAATATTGTGTGCGGGGCACTGTTCTGGGCACACAGAGACTTCACACATCACACACATCTTTCTAGGTAGACCAGAAGACTACATTAGAGATCAACGGCTATTTTCAGAGCTAAACATGGGATTTTACTGCCATTTTTACTGTGGGGTAATGGTTGATTTATTTTAGTGCTCAGCATAAGGAGTGGGGCAGACAGTGCTGGTCTCGCATTTATTTTCTTGGGGGGAGTGCAGGGTGCAGGCAGGCTGCACTAGAAGGCATGTGAGAAAGAAAAGAATCTGCCTACACTAGGGACAGGCGAGGCTCCCCTGTGGGTCCTGGACCTCCTCCCTCCTCCCCTAGTGATGAACAGGCTTGTCTCTCCATCCCCGATATATTGAAATGTCTAGGCTTCGGAGACGAGAATCAAATGGTCTTGAAAAGAAACCTTTAGCCCTCTCTTCCTTCTATTCAGACAAGTTACGAGACAGCAGTCTCCTTTTCTTCCTTCCACTGTGTCTGACTGTAGCTCGGTGCTAGATCAAGCTACTTTGACTTTGACCTGAGCTGGCAGTTGGCATCATTACCAGGCTTGTTTGTTTTGCTATACATAGCAGGTGCTTGGCAAAACGCTTTTTAATGGAGGGGTCAGTGTAAATGGGGCACCTTCCTCATTTTCTTGGCTCTCAGTCTCTTCTAGACATATCTGTCCTTTCTTGATGGTAAACTGAAGGTTTGAGCCTGCAGCCTTGCAGCAACTCTAGCCCTGGATGCTCTGTCTCAGCTCTGCTGCTCCAGAAGAGAGGGAAGCAGACTTGACTGGGTGATTGATATGTCCACTGAGATACTCTACAGGACCACATGGAACTCCTTGCCCTTACTAGGGAACTTTCTTGCTCAACCCTGGAAAGGTTTCCCTCTCTCCTGGCTGCTTTCTGTGCAAACTACATTCACTGATTAATTTTAGTCCTGTTCAACCACTGAAGGAAGTTCATCTTTTTTTTAAGCCTATGTTGACTTTGAGCCCCATATAACTAGGAAGTATAAAGAACCAACTCTGCAGTGGTCCAATTGCTTCCAGTAGCTCCCAGCACATACCTACCATGACTGTGGCTTCTCCCTGCCCAGTCCTCCCTGAGCTCCCATCTCTAATCAATGATACTCTCTTCAGCTCCTTCTCCGAGCAGTGCCAGTCAACATGCTGAGAGCCAACACAAGCGAAGGCATTTGCTCTGCCAGGCTCTGGTCGCCATCTCTTCCTGCTTTCCCACTAACCCACTCATGTATTAGTAGATGCCCTCCAGGAAGGGATATCCTGAAGTCAATTATCACCATTTATTTAATATTTCAAAATACTTTATGCACACAAGAACAAATGACAGCCCAAATTACCACCCAGGCTTGAAGATGTCTTTCCTTGACAGGCTCCTGTGCTGGTGGGAAAGACCCCTGAGCTGTGCCCAGGCTTCCCTGTGCTCCCTTGACAGTTGGGCTCCCAAATGCACCATTCAAGGATTAATTTCCGTGTTCATAATTGATGCTATAAATAAAACAAATCCCCAATTATCTCAGTTAACAGAGGAAAGGGATAACGTGGGACTCCCAATATTAAGTAAGACCAACATAACTAGTTTGGGAATGTATTAGATGAGGTGAGTTTTGTTAAAGCAAATTTCCCTTCTTAGTTTTGCTTGGCTTTACTTAGCCTAATGGCTGCCCTGGACTGCCTGAGCAAGTCCTTGGGCAGCTCAGGCGAAGATGTGGGGATAAGAGGAGTTGGGAGCCTTTGGGTGTGCATTCACAATGGCCATGGGGGGCTAACTTCAGGACATCTGGAATGGACTGCTCTTGGACATCTTAAAGAGGGGAGTTGGGCTTGGGAAAGGTGGGGGAAGGTATAGAGCAGCCTCTGCTCCTTCCATGGTGTCTCACTGCCACTGTTGACTCAGTTACATAATTGTCATCGGCAGCCTATCTGTCACCCTGTGCTCTGAGATGAGAGCATTTTTGACAGTGTCCAAAAATCACTTTAACAAAAGCAGAATCAATTTTGTTTTTTTACTTCTTCCGAGCGTGAAGCAGTCTCCAGGTGATTTGCATTTTCCTTTAAAACCTAATCCTGGAGGAAACCTGTCTGACGTTCCAGGAGGCAGGAAGACTCGGGCAGGGAAGTAGAGAGAGGAACTCTTCAGATTGGGGTGGAGATCAGGAGATCAGAGTCCCCAGTGCCAGAAACGGAGCTTGACTGAGATGTGTTTTTATTAACGCTTCAATTTTCAGTGTTGTGTATGTACTTTCACAAGGATCAGCAATGCCTCAGTCTAGATACTGTCTGTGTGGGTGGACCCCTGCCCACAGCACTGCTTACATTACACTCTGAGAACAAGTGACCTTCAGGTCTTTTCTTTGTTGGCCTGCCTTACCTGATAGTTCTCTGGTGCTGAAATTCCCAAGAGAGGATGCAAACTTACATCTCACCAAGGAATCTTTCGTTCCTTCAATGTTTATGAACGCTTACTGTACACCAGAGAGCATTGCCGACTCTGAGCATACACAAGCACTATAATTGCATTCCAGTCCAATGTGAATTTACAAAATGAATCAAACAAGGTGCATTTCCCTTCCTCAGAACAGTCACCTTCCAAATGTGAAACTCCACTGTCTCCTCCAAGAAGCCTTCCCAGATTTTGAAGATCTAGGGATCCTCTCGCCTCCCATCACAGCCCTGTTGCTATTGCCAGGACGCTGCCTCCACCTCCCATCACAGCCCTTGTGCTCCACCCTGCTGCTGACGCCTCCCATCGTAATCCTTGTGTTCTACCCTGTTGCCAACATGTTTTATTGACTTTGTTTTTGTATTTTCCCCCAGATTGTGAAGCCTTCAAGTACATATCATCAATGATTGC